GATTTAGGTCACTTCAGGCTGCAGTGTGAACGTAGCCTAAGCTGCGTCTGAAAACCAGATGGACCAGAACAGCAAATCCCACAGATTCATAAATTCAACTTTAGTATCTGAAAATCTGCGGTGGCCCTTTTTAACAGTAGAAGATCAAATGAGGGTGATAGTAATAAAAATCTACGTCTATTCTTTAATTATCAAAAACTGCTTGATTACTATGCTAATTTTTTCCACTTTACTATAATCAACCATTGTTTTGTTGGGGTTTGACCATATCTAACCCTAAAATACACCAACGTTTGTTGGTTTAACATTACAAACTGTTCAAAGAGTGAAAGGAAATTTGTGAGGCCCCAGGTGCTAATAAACTTTGTGTGTTTACCTTCGCTGCAGTTGGTCCCTCTCCATCCAGCTTTGCAAACGCAGCCACCTGCCGAACACACACAGGTCAGGGGAAACAGCTGCCATGTTTGACCAACAGGATGAAGCAGCAGCATTTGGGTGGAGACGGTCATGTCGACTAAATGGTGACTTTAACCAGCGTCAGGAAACTCACTGGGTGAGCAGACACCATGGGGTCCGCAGGCGGAGGGCTGACACATCAGGGTGTTGCAGGCGGGACCGCGCCAGCCGGTCTGACACCGGCACTGTCCTTCAACACAGTCACCGTGGCCGCTGCAGTTCGCCGGATTGCATCGCCGCTGATGAACACACAGAACAGTGGAGACTTCTCTGGCACAGCGCCACCTGCCGTCAAGTTTGCTAGGAAGGATTCAAAAAAAAAAAAAAAAAGAGATGAGCAACATTTGATCAATTAAGCCTTTAAGCAGCTGAATAAAGATTATAAAGTATGACGTTAGAGATTAAATGGCTCACCAGTGATCGGAGGGGTAGCTGGCCAATGAGCCATTAATCACATAGGTGGAAGACCCGCCTCCATCCAAATTAATGGCATTGATGACCCCATTTTTCTTTAGGAAGTCAGCTACCTGCCAGAGATTCATGCTGTTTGGACAGAAGAGGAATCTGCTGTTAAAATAATGCAAACCATGATAAAAAAAAAACTTAAAATGTGATTCAAAGCTTCCAGACCAAGTCTTTCTGTTTTATAATCAAGCAAATCTAGGCTGCAACTAAAGCCTGGATTTTCTTTAGGTTAAGCCAACTTCAGAAGGATTGTATATCTAAAATACCGGGTTATGACTCCTTTAAAGAAAAAAACAACAAAAAAACTACGATACGAAACTATCTTTAAGCAGAATAGCTACATTTTTTCTATATGATTGCAGCTTAAAGAAATTAACCCCACGTTCAGAACAGCACCAACACCTGCAGTAAGACATTACCCCGTTTACCACATAAATCTCAGTAACTGACTGGTGCAAGTTCACAAGTAGAATAAGAATTGCCGTCTTTCACACATACATTTTAATCCTAGTAAATTACAGTGTCAGGTTTTTTTTTCTTTACCCGGCAAGAGTGAAAACAAATGTACATAATATCACCTGCAAGTGGCAGTAATGCAAAAAACGCAACGGATAAAGTCAACCTCTAACAATTAGTTTAGCTGAATTGATACCAGTTAAACAGCTGACGAACAATAACAAACAATGTCTTTGGGATCAGTGGTTCTTTGTTATAAATAAAGCTGTGAAAACTACTGAAGAAGTTGTTTTTTAGTGCATTTTACACTTTTTTTTTAACTAAAAACATTGCAAATACGTGCCTCTCCCAGTAATGTTATGACTTTATTCACACTAGTATAAGACTTTACTGTAACCATTGTATAGAATAATACCGGGTCTTACTGGCTAAGGTAAGTGGGAAGAGGGCCACTGACTATTTCCAAGTTCCTCATACGAGAAAAAACAGTGAGTTTATTTGAATAGCACAATTTAGAACAAGGACAATTCAAAGTGCTTTACATGAATTAAAGTCGCAGGGAAACGGCTGTTTCAACCTTTGAAATTCCAAATTCTCCAGAGTGGTGCCCGACTTTACACGAGTGAATAAAGTGAATGTGATTGGTCCTATATTAAGAGGGCGGATTTGTTATGGCGGAAGGTTTGTAAGC